AGACGCTTTGGTGTGCATCTGTGTCCATCAGTCTGGTAAAACCTATGACCGCATAGGTGGAGGACCACACACTTGTGTTTTTCTAACGAATCAGAAAACACAAGTTTATTGCGCGGACGAATATATTCCCGAGTGTGCGGAGCGCACGAGTGAATATATACGTCCGCGCAATAAATGATTCGTTAGAAAAACACAAGAGTGTGGTCTTGCTTTTATCACATACCTTCCGTATTTGGTAGAGATCGATACAAAGATTTTATAAACTTTGATATTTTTTGCAAATATCGGGAACTTTTCAGTTCGCCATGACAATCAAGCACGTATGGGACGAGATGCAACGTCGGCTACGTGAACTGCGAAATCAGCCTGGAACGTTGTATGAGCTTCCCGTGCGTTAGTTTGTATCTTGAACGGCATTCCCCGTNCGCTGGGTATAACCGATATTGTCATTGTGAACCGGCTCAGTATGAATTATGTGTTTGTTGTTCCCTCGCGTTAAAAACAAATTATTACAATACATTTTAAAGGGGGTTTTTGACCGGTTTTTCACCTATGCACAGTTTCTTTTTTTTCCCCCGCAAGTTTATTTTTATATTTTGATCAAATAAAAGGAATAGATATTTGCTGTAAGTTCTGTCTCAACCGGACACCATAGAGACCATATAATTTACTTGGTTTGCAGAGAGTTTCCGACTGGAGAGATCCTGCTTGATTTATATATCTATCTCTCTGTTTCGTTTGTTTATTAATGCATGAACTTAAATTTTCATTTTCAGCGTAAACTGATATTTGCCCCATTCGTAAAATGAAAGGATCCTTCCGTAAGGTTAAAGGAAGTTTGGAATGTTTTTCTGCATCAAGTACAGATTTATCAAAATCCCTGTCATGCGTGGAATCAATCAGATCTCAGAAAGCCAGGATCAAAAGAAGTCTGAGGAAACGGAAACGTGGCGACATGATTAAGATGATACGAAAAGGTTATCTGCACTACGCCATATATATAGGTAAATATATCTAATAAATCATGACTTAAAACACGTTTTCCATGTTTACAAAGTATTTCTGTCGTCATGCAATCTTTTTATTCAGTTCTCATATATGTTAACCATTCGTTCACCAATGTGCAAAGGTATGGTGTTGTTTAATACGAAACTGTCACTGAATGTGTAATGTTATAGTCTTGAACGGTATAGTTCGAAACTAATGATAGGCATGTACGTTTCCATGGTTACAGTGGAGACACAAATATGGATACACACCAGTCAGTTCGTAGAAATTACCTGTCCTGCTTTCCGGACACGATTATAAATAGTATCCAATGCTAGGATTAGGTGCACACACATATGTCATTATGTATACTCGCATCCCGGATCTAATTTTAAATTTTACATTTCAAGGAAACAGACCAGAGTCATGTAGCCTTATTAATTATGCATAGATATTGACGTACCGCATTTGAGATCGTACTTAGCCCGTGACTTGTGTGTCGCTTTGTTTGCGAGTTTGTGTTTTTGTTTTAAATCGAACCATTTTGGTAAGGCGATGATTGCATGGAAACCAGTTAGCAAATCAGAATCAAATAGCTTAATTGATTATGCATAGATACTCACTTAGCCTGAAACTTTCCAATTGGTATTTGCTAACAGTTTCCATTGAAGCCGGTTAATTTAAGGGCGATATCGAATTGAAATGAATACAAATTGTAATAAAAAAATGTACACGAATGCGTTTGAAAGGAATTGTTGCTACAATGTATAGCATCACGTTATAAACATTTAATGCAGAAGCCGTTATTATTTTCTTTTAAAAAACGATTAGCATTTGTGATCCTACTTTGAAGTTCGGCTTTACTACATTACACAGGCAGCGACAAGATCGTTGATTTAGTCGCAGATAATGGTGGTGACGTTAGCTCACGTAATCTATACGAGACTGTTGGTGACAGCGAATGTGCGATCGACAACTACTTGGACGAGGAGCGCAGGTATGATGCTTCAAATTCTATCAAAATATTGTAACAGAATGCTCTGCAGACTAACTCTCTCGTATGTTTACGTAACTTTATCACGGAAATGGCCGAGACATTCTGGTTTGTACTGACCCAACCATTTCCAATCGTCGTCGATCGTGAAACAAAAGTGGGAACGATTTGTTGAAATGACAGATATGGCTCTCAATAGTGTTTTTTTAACTGATGGTTGATATAAAGTCTGTGCGGTTCGTATCGGTATCATAACCGCTAAAGTACTGGTTAAAGGCACATAGTAAGTATCTGATCTGCCGACACCAGACTTGGTCGACGGAATCCCATTCTGAAGTATAATATTATGAGCAATTCGGCTTGTCTGAATACAAGCATGTGTCGACCGTCCCCTCAGGAAATAGATCTGGTCAAGAAACTTGCTTAAATTTATGTCCGAAATGCTATATTGGCACTGTTAATTTAAGTACATGAGCATTACGATAAGAACTGCACACGCGTTTTTAAAATTCAATATTTCAAGCTGCAAGGTCCGACTTTCTCTCATGAGCCATATCCAATCTTTCATTATCGTCTGCAGTGAGGTATCGATCGATGACAAACTGAGGAGTGAGGAGGCAATGTCGAATACTAGTTCCGTCCAGCTCTCATTTGATTGGCTCAATGCCAGTCACGTGAAGACCTATGTGTAGGCGGGGCGATTGGCATATGCATAGGACGGTCAATTGAGCTGTATCCCTCGGGACATTAACATGTTGTTGTCTAATTACCAATAGGGGTACACATACAAAGACATTATTAAAATAGCCACACAGCTGTACAATTTTGTGTCAGAAATATATGGTATCATCGTACGATAGCCTTTCACTAGGATAGTCACATCGCGCCGTTATTCCGAGTACAGTTACAGTGTAAATTGCCTGAAAGGATCATTGCTACATCTCTGTATCAGCGGTAATAAGTATGATCATTGGAATGTTTAGAAAGTTTCTCGAAATATTTACTTCTACTTTAGAATATTAGATAGTTTCTTCCATCATGAAAAATGTTTTGACGGTTACTTTCAGTCATGATTTTTTTTTTATCTGGAACATATAATTATCGTGAACTGATGACCACCTATATTGGTTATATTTACAGTCCCTACAGAAAGAGGCGGGTTGTACAGCGGGCATTGTTGTCGATTGCGGACCAGCATATATACAGCCTAAGAACATACAACTGTGAACATTTCGCGACGTGGTGTCGGTATGGGTACAAATGTTGGCATCAGCCGTGTGAAGTGGCCGCCATGTTTGGAGCTATAAGTGAATCAAGCCTTTCCTCAAGCTGATGAACCCGTCTTTATATGACAAGGATGTTAAACTCCAATTAAAGTTAAATGAGATTTTTAACATATAAATATGTTTTGAAATATGTATGCACACGTCAGATGTTAATTCTTGTAGTATTAATTCATAGTAAAAATTAAATCCTAAATTTGCTATTGTGTATAAAATATTAAAAAAAAAACAGCAGTGAAGTGATCAGAGTCTCTCAAATGTATTGACACGTGACTTTATCATCCCGTAAAGAGTTCAGAAAAAAGTATTTTCCTGTTGAAACGACATATGTAGCAGAGACTTACTTTAGTATGCACTAAACGTGTGGTAAACCAGAATTTGCTAGGTATTTTTGTCAAACAAACTACATTTGTAATTGGTACCTACTTCGTTTTGTCGTTTTAAAGATGAAGTACTCATCGACATACCAGCAGGCAAATACTAGTGTATTTGCGGTGAGTATTAGCACGGAGTGGTTTTTTTTCACTTTCGATGATGATGATGATGATGATGATGATGATGATGATGATGATGATGATGATGATATTGTAAATTATGATGATGATGATGATGATGTTATAAATTATGATGATGATGATGATGATGATGATGATGATGATATGATGATGATGATGATGTTGTAAATTATGATGATGATGATGATTGATGATGATGATGATGATGATGATGATGCTTATATCCATAATTGTCACTTGTTTTGCAATTGTATATCGAATAAGTTGTAAAACTAATGGAAATCAATTCAATTGAATGCCAACACGTCACTTAGTACAATTTATGTTTTTGGGGGTGGTGTTGGGTTGGGTGGATGAGTTGTAAAAAAGTAAATTATCATAATAAGAAAAACAGAACCTCACTATGTCACGTTTCCAATTTTATTAACCAAAGAGTATATGCTGTAATATATACATATTTAATTCAATTGTCGTAAATATTGCTTTATCAATAACATCATAATTTTATTACCTATTTTTTTAGAAATGCATTAGCAAACCCTTGTGTCATAAAATGAATGTCCTTCTCGAATAGTTACATTGTTGTCCTTTGTGTACTAAAAGTAACCCTTAGTATAATATTATTACATAATATGACTACTAGGTTAGGCCAGACATAAAACGTATGTTTCCTGTAACATGTTGGAAAAAATTAGTGTAGGAAAGCAGGTAACAAATTTTATTTTCAAAAATAATTTTATATATTATATAGAAGGGAGATCTTGATTTAAATAGGGCTTCTTTGGTACTTGCCTTAAAAAGTTAAGGGTAGGCACAACACATAAGGGAAGGTAGGGTTACCGGAAACATGAAATATTTTTTGTTTGGCCTTATTAAAGATATACAAGTGTATGTCCTATTTGTTACTGTTTTACCACAAAATACAATAAAAGCCTACCTTACATGTGTGTTGGGAAAATGCTGTACAACAAAATGAAGTTGTCAAAACCAATTGGTTTCTCACACAAAAATTGATTGGTCACACACCCTGAAACAATAATGGACATTTAATTTCATTAATAAATACTTGTAATAGGACATCACCAATGAAAACAATGACAACAAGTAAATTTCATTTACTTTGTAAATCACTGCTCACATAGAGAAATTGACCGAAATTAATATTTTATTTTACTCAAGTAAAATATTTTCAAATGGAAGTCAACAATTTTGAAAACTAGAGTAAGGACATTTTTAAATCAACAAAAAGAAAATTTTCAAACTGTGTTAGTAAACAAATATGAAGGCAGTCATCGTTTCAGTCACTGTTACTAAATAATCTTTATTTTTCATTAATAAAAATGATGCCAAATAGTTTGTTTACATAGTGTAAGACATGGTATTTGAAGGATCTCTGTACCACTGCCAAAAACTAAAACACTGGAAACTGGTTTTTTCCGGCATGACTACAGCTTTTATAAATATAATTTCTGAAAAAAAAACAACATCTGGGAGTCTTATGAAAAATTGATAAACTACAGATAAAATAAACAAATAATAAAGATACAATTAACAAAGTATAATCACCAACAGTGTTCTGTGTGTAAAAATGCATTGTGGCCAGACCAGGTTTCGAAACCTGGACCACAGATTGTAAGACTGTCGCTCAAACCAATTGAGCTACCTAGTCTACGAAAGTTATATACAGATAAAAACTAAGGGTATATACGAAAACCCACAGTTGAATCTCTAGTGTTTTGGAATCAGCTTGACAGGGATCCTTTAATTTTCAAAACGATTAAAAAAATAAGAAGTTAAACGGATATGTCGCGTGCCGGGCAGATATGGCGCTTGCCGGGCGGACATGGCGGATACCGGGCGGAAATGGTTTTGTCCGGAATATGGGCTATGCACAGCTAGAATAAACACACATGCAAAACAAGCCATATCACAGACGAGTATATGATTCTATATACTTCAAACTGGTATATGACATACATAACTCATATATAAATTAATGTATGCACTTGGAATGTTTTTACGCAAAGTCGAACTAATGACGTCACCTCCGGTTACGTTTTTTTTTATAAAGGATGTCACAGCAGAGATTTCATGGAAGGGCCAATCCTTGGAGAACGCATGGTCGATGGCATCAATAAGAATTACGAAGAGGAAGACAGACAGAAGGATGAACAGACCAATGACGATTCCAATCACCAAGAAACCCACTTCATTTTTACTCACCTGAAAAAGTAATGACATAATATGGAGGAAACTTACTTTCAAGCGTCGATATGTCATATGACAATGAACATAATTACTGTTGAAACTTTTCAATAATGTTAAAGTAGTAGCAGCAAAGAAAAGCTACAAGAAAAATTACTAAGAGATAATTTATTCATGAATTTTGAGTTGGTTTTCGCTGAATCATTCGACAAATCAATGCCAGTCTATAAACATTTATCGTTGGAAATGTTTTATGCTTGTGTAACCTGAGATAAAACATGAAAACAAGAATTAATTTGATCGCTTTGTCAGATTTAGGGCAGTATTCTTGATAAATTCTATTAGATCTTTGCGCACTACTTTAATTCAATTAGTTCTTACTGAAACGTTAAAGTATAGGTTACCTGGTGTTGCTCCCAGTTTGCTCCATACCTCTTCCGTAGATAATTTTCTTTGAATTTGTTCCATCCCTGTCAATGTATCAAACCGTTCGTTAGTACTTTGTATGATATAAACATATACTGGTTTAAATAAATAACGAAATATACAACAAAATTACACAATAGCAAAATAATGTTGTAAAATAAGGGTCAGATTATAAGAAATATAGATACGGCTTCATTAGGACAAAAAGACTCAATATTTGTAAACAAAAACATGGAAAATATAATTTCAACAAATGCAACCAAAAATATATAAATCGTATTGTTTAATTCCGTATAACTAACTTACATCTGCCAATAGAAACTGGAAGATGGTTAGTATACCTCATCAGGATCGAGTTTGTGATTCACGACATTGGTGATAGATAACATTATTTATTTCTTTGTATAAACACGAACCAGTGTGTCGACTTAGAATTCTTACTCCAAACTACTATTGTATGTATTCTGATTTGCGAATAATGTTTTTTGAAAACTTACAACATTAAAAAGCCAAACGTGTTTAAATTGATAGGACTGCTGAGTGACGTAGCGAACTTAAGGGGATTTTAAAAATTGCAAATTCGAGAAGAACCTTATTGTGTGTAATGTGGTTTATTACATACTTACTAATAAATACGGGCTTTTTGTATATGCGATACGACACAATTGCTCTTACCCATATCAGCCCCCGCCGTATCACACCCCAAAACCCGTACCAGCCCGCAAAACCCGTATCACACCCCTTTTGGAAATTTTCGTTTTTCAATATTTCAATAGAAAAATATATCATAATATAGTAGCTTTTATTAGTAAGTATGTAATTAACAGAATAAAGCAACCCTCAACCAATATCAGCCCTCGGGCCTTCGGCCCTTGAGCTGATATTGCAGTCTCGGGTTGATACTGGGTGTGATATGGAAAAAGGCATGTATTATTCTCTATGTAATGTTATGTCGTATTATGCATTGTAAACGCCACACTTATGTTACTTCGTAACTGATGATTATTTTTTTTTATTAATTTATCACCGGAACTGATGTTAAAGCTTGATTGAACACAGAATCAGAGTTTGAGCATTAGAACGGTTCAGTGAATACTGGCCCAGATTTCCTTTTTATTTAAACGAGCTTCAGTACCGTAATTAGTTGATAATATTTCCGTTAATTATACGCGTTTTTCCTGACTTCATTATTTCTCATGTGGTTTCAATACATTTTGGTATTTCGATGCAAATACAAATAATCTCCCTTGCCCCCTTCACTCCATAGGACAATTTACCAATGCAAAAAGTGCATTCTTTTAAGGAACGAGTAGGGCTATTATCCAAACTGAAAATTACAGGGTTCACATCGTAGTGTTGCAATTCTTATTCACTCATTTTTTTATTTTTATTTCTATAACTTATTTTAATTAACATATCTATTGTTCAATGTTTTCATACACAATTCATGATATTTAATATAATTATTTCTATTGAGAGTAAGTTTGTTTTGTTCATTCGAGGATAGGCTGTGATATTGTCAGATGACAACATTGACAATAATGTGTGACAAGGTGTTAATTGTTTGAAATCGAGACATGTTAAAATAGTATAAGGAAGTACGCACGTTTTGATTTCATTTGTTTTAAGAATATATAGTTTACGGACTTAAGCAAGGCTACTTAATGTATACGGCTTTAGTTAACGTCGTAACTTTTTATTGCTGAAACAATCAAGAACTATAAAGAGACATGGGAAGCAAACTGTTTTAAACACATCATTAATCTTCCACTGCTTTGATATTATAAAAAAATCATCTGAATATTGCATTATATTATCATCTGAGGCATTTATTTCAACAGCGTCGACAATATGGATGGGAGGGAACTCTGATACACTTAACTTACTTGAAATTATTAAAAGTCAAACAAGAGGAAGTACATGACAAACTGTGTTAATATATATGTGCCAACTGTTTAGATATCGTTTATTAACTTTAAACGTTTGTGATAGAGTGTATGCTACAATGGCCGATAGCAGCCGACACAAAACAACTACAATATAAGACATTTATGTACATGTACACTTTTTAAAAACTGTACATGTACACAATACAACTACAAGTGCTATTAACATTCCTTAACGGTTTGGATCAACTTGATATTTCACACGTGTCTGATACGGCGGCTAATAAACGACAAGGACATTACTAGATTCCCCAGAAGTCAAACAGTACTAGACGGTCACAAATCAGAGGTATACCAAATATCATATAATTTGTATGTGAATTTTGGAGTAATGGTTGGAGACAAAACAAAAACATGTAGTTACTTAATTTGTATATAGAATTATAATTTTAACTCAATAACCCCAAATACGTAATTTAAAGTGTTCCATGTGACATATTCACAAGTTTGGAGGCTATTGCCTTGGGTATAAAACACTAGTTATTTCTCTCAGAACAATCTACATACAACTTTTGTTACAGTAAGTATTATATTATATTTGACTTTAGCAATCAACTATTCACACTGAACAAGGCAACGTTCTACTTTATGACTCCAATCCATACATTAGGTAAAGCCCACATAGATATGCGTATAACGATGGTTTATGTCTGTTACATTTCTTTCAAATTAAAAATAGGAAATAAGACCAATCAACATACAAAGAAAATATTAAGAAAATTAAACACTTGATAATTACTCATGTCAAACTTTTCTAGTATATCCATTTTCAGGTGATGATATTAAGTCGCTTTCAAGCATCAACTAGTGAAATATTTTGTACAGTCTATGTAGCAACACTGTGTGGTGACCTCTATCGCCTCTTCGCTGATTTATGAACATATTCCCTTTCCTTGTCGTTTGGTCTTTAAATTCACCGCCGCATCAGGCACGTGTGAAATATCAAGTTGACCCGAACCGTTAAGGAATGTTAATAGCACTTGTAGTTGTATTGTGTACATGTACAGTTTTTAAAAAGTGTACATGTACACAAATGTCCAATATTGTAGTTGTATTGTGTACATGTACAGTTTTTAAAAAGTGTACATGTACACAAATGTCCAATATTGTAGTTGTATTGTGTACATGTACAGTTTTTAAAAAGTGTACAAGTGTACAAATGTCTTATATTGTAGTTGTTTTGTGTCGGCTGCTATCGGCCATCGTAGTATGCTTACTGTAAAGACAGACAATGCCACGAGAAATGTCTGTCTGGAGATACCATTGATTATTTTTCAGAGAGAGAGCAAATATCGCATAGCAAGGCTATGAACAAAGGACAGACATGGACTTCAAGCTAAGTTTCATTTCGGTATCTATTTGACAATGGGTGGTGGAAACTGATCTTGAAAATTATGCCAGTAAACCGTATATCTTTCCTATAAAATCATATCTTTCCTATAAAATCATAAGTATTTCAGCAATTTTCTTCTGATGTCATGTGATAATTTGACATTATTCTGAACTTATACCTCGCCACTCGGCCAGGAGTCTTAATTTTCGAAAATAGTCGAGGTGTTCGATGTGATTTTGAGGTATACCAACACATATATCATATGGTGTAGTATTTAAGAATGCCTGCACGTAACGTAAAATATAGATGATTAAACTTAAGTTGAATCATATAGTTCTGATGCCGGCTATACGTTCTTATATCAAACATGTTACCGAAAACACCGGCACTCAATATATTTCAGGTTATATGAACATGTACCTATATACCGTATACTGCCTCTCCCAGTCACCGTTCGCATCTTAATGATACTACCTGACAAAGCCCGATCATCTGACACCGTTGTGTATATGTGTCTGATACACGCCGCCATGACACACCTGTTCGAAATACACACCTGTCGAAGTCGTCCAGATTTAAAGAAACTGAATACGTCTTTCAGCGTTTCATAGTGTTCTTGTATGTCGCGATCTAGGTTGTTTGGCGGCATTATGAATCCCTGTGTATTCAGGTCAATGTTCGGCCATGTTAGTTTCGTTCTGGTGCATAACTGATTACATGCCTTTTTGTGCATACGGGTAGATAGGGTAAACATTACCGTGCTATTCATAAACCTTACTCAGGTTTTAAGAGTGCTCTCCCTTACTGCATGGGCCGTACTGGAGGTTTTCTTTGTTTTGTTGGTTTGTTTTAGACAGCGTTGAGGTTCTAGTTTCTGAGACCAGAATCAATTATTAACGGATGAAATAGCTCAAATATTTTTGTATACGATCATATCTTTAGAAATAAGAACTGCGACCCGGCCCACGTTGTTATTTCGCAATATTTTTTAAATAGATTTGTGGCTCTAAAGGATACACGTACCACCGCCCAAAACTGGTAGTAAGGATTGGCAACTGTTTTTGTTCGGCATGACTATGGCTTTGATCGATCAGTTCTGAAAAGAAAACCGCAGAGCAATGTACCAAATGTTGGAACAACCATCAATGTATGGTAGAATAAACCAAACAATTATAAAATGTGATTCTTGCTGACTCTGGAGGGAATGTCTTAACCCTACATACATTTTATTGTAGTTGATAGATTTTGAAATCGATTTTTCCCAAGTCAGGGTGTCATCAATACATACTCGAAGCAGCTTTGTATGCTAAACATTCTGTGGGTTTGAGCTAATAACTACAATAGTAAGACTTTTTGTAAGCCTTTGTTTCCAACAGAGACGTGTATACTACGTCTCCATGGCCAATTAACATGACTTTGGTTTCCTAAGTATTAATATTCATAGCACACCAGTTTTGCTCTTGTATAAACTAACTCTTTAGGTATGATTCAATGACATTTATATTTGTTGTGCATCTCATTTCTACCATCCTTGAAAAAATATTTTCGTTTTACAATTAATTTCTCTGTATATTTATACAAAGACAATTCTAATATGAAAATACTACCAGTGATGTTGCACACCCTTTTTGAGAAACCATGAAAGCACCAACACTGATGATTTCCTCGACGTATACGTTTCTACGGAAATGTTTTGTAAATTAGGAAATAGGCAGGCAACTCAAAGTAAGAGAGATGTCGATCGCGTTTCCGTATTCTTTTTCGTCGAAGATGCAATATAGATATTGGTTCTGTTTACCCAAACCTATGATACAAAATGAAAACTTCCATTAACATACATGTTCCTTTATATGAACAAATTTGTATATGGTTTGATTGACGTATGGTTTTCGATTTACAAGGGGTATTCAATATTTTTGTCACTTCGCAGTTTCCACCGTGTACACTAGTTAATAAACTATCAACCATTTCTACATGCACAAGTTTACATCGTCTTCAGTCTCACCCATTCTTTATTTCTGTACATCTCACAGAAACAAATCTGTCTCAGTTTATCCTCCAAACAATAGCAATGCGCCAAATGAAAATATTTCAAGTTTCCAGTCAAGCGCATTAGAACACACATTCACTATCAACTACGTAAACACTTTCGTGAGGAGATATATGTTTTCAGTATTTGATCGATTTTAGGCGCGTTATTTGACTAAATAGCCTTTTCAACAGGAACAGCTCATACACGTATTTCAAATTATGTCTTTCCACGAAATCAATGTAAGATTGCTTCGTTGATACTGTAAGTTATTAGAAGAAGAATATATGTGGTTGGAGACATCAAACAAAGCTGCTGAAAGATATGATTGTATTTTTTAAAAGATTTTGCCACTAAATTACCTAATAAGCATCGCTGTGTCACTCATGAGGGTTTTCAATGTCATACAGTGTAATCACGTTTTACTTCAATGAAAGATTAAAGCCAAATGAAAACAAAAATGGTTGTATTTGCCGTTTCCCCACCGAGCCTATGTTTTCCTGTCGACCCTAGAAATCGTATTGGTTTCCCAAAGTAGCAACCGTTTCCTTTACATGTATTATCTCCCAATCTGGAAGTAAATGCAAATAAATGAACTTGCTGGAATGTAGTACGATATAAAAGAATATCATGAAACAATCAGGAGAAATGACAAACTAATTTATTGCTGGTTTTGTTGAAAACTTTGAGTACAAAAACTCCATTAAACGATATTTGTAACTTCATTATAATGGTGCGTAGTCAAGTTCAAGTTCTTTATCACTTTAAATCGGCTGACTTATCAGTTATAACATATATACAGAACAATATGATACAAAGACAACATACAATATGATACACACACACACATACTTTGGAGAGTGAACACCAACCAGAAATCAGCTCAGATCTCCTTTTGTTTGCTTGTATTGAATACTTGCCAAGATTTCTAATGTCAGATAAATTCTCACAAGTAATTAGTTCAATTAATTTATACATGCTTGTATGTCTTATATAATTTTTCTTTATCAGTTTCAACCTTACATCAATATAGCAAGGACATTTTTAAATGAAATGGAACTCATCCTCGACATCATTCAGGTCACATACTGTACTCAATCTGTTTTGTCTTTCAGTACTATTATATCTGTCAGCTGTGTCATGTTGATAAACATTGGTAAAATGAATGGAAAACCACTGAAGCCCGTGTAAAACACTTGACAAAACCACTGAGTACAAAATGAATTCATGGAGGCAAAAATCAGAAACCCAGCCGTAGTGTACTTCATTGCATCTGTCGGCATGACACTTTCGTTCAGGGGAGATTTCATTTTCATTTCCCTTATACTATATAGTCTCAGAATTCTAAAGCCCAATTGGGGCTCTCCGACTTCGATATTTTTGTCTTCTACTTATCCAAATGGAAGCCCTGTGCATTGGTGTTTTTCATATTTGCATGTCATTATGAAATGATAATTTGAAGTGCTGCATCATCTTACAAAATGAACACTTGTCAAATGTCCAAAGATGATTCTTACACCCCAACAAATAGGCCAAATTACAATGGTATTGCTTTTTGTAAAAATACAACAAAACAAAATTTTGTGTTTCATGTACAAACTTTATTAAAACAATAACATATATTTAAAACATTCATGCAAAGATTTTCTTCACCAGAAAATAACAAATAAAAAACCTAAAATACAACGTTTTTCCTACGTACCTACCCTATTGTTTTGAAGCGAAACAGGAAACAAACATACATTTTTATTTTATCAAACAAAAATAATTCCATATATCTCGTTTACATACTGTAAACCTGTTATTGTAATTTGAATTAACAAAACTGTTAAAAACACAATGAATGGGGTCGATCGGACTGAATCTGATAAAACGCCTTTACTCTTGGATCCATTCTATCTCAATCATACAAGTTAATTTCTCTAAAGTACCCCATATAGCTTAACGCACACAGGCACCAATATATATACTTAGTATCTCATCTAGTGTCATAGCGCTACGCATAGTTTGTACTTGCACAACTGCTGTATGGTCTATGCAATCTATTTTTATCTTAAATGCTCTTACAGTAAATGTTAATAGTTCCTGCTTGCATAACAACTCAATGGCACATATCAGCTATCAATTTTCTTAAATATCATTACAGTAAATGCACTAAGTTGCTGCCTGTACGATTGCTGTATGGAACATGTAACCTATCATTTTCCTTATTACCCATACAGCAATATTTCGTAAAGCTGTGAAATAATATTATGCAACATCAGATAAACTTCAATTAGATACGTGACATATATAAATCATATATATCTTTCCATTAACGGGCTGGGAATGATTTCATTCAAGGTCGAACTAATCACGTCAAACCCGATTGCACCTTTGCATGAAGAAGGATGTCACAGCAGAGATTTCATGGAAGGGCCCATCCTTGGAGAACGCATGGTCGATGGCATCAATAAGAATTATGAAGAGGAAGACAGACAGAAGGATGAACAGATCAATGGTGATTCCAATCACACTCAAACTTAAAGTAGTTTTACTCAACTAAATAAATAACATCATAAATTTATATGAAGGAGCAAACGAGTTAAGTTTCGAACGTTGAAATGACAGTTTCTATATACACTGTTAAAGTTTTACAATACATACATTCGGAATGTATAAAGGTAATATCAGCAAACAACTACAATTTAAAATCGTTTCTAAAACCTTTTGAAAATACAGACTATAGCCATGATATGGTCTAGCACACGCCGAATGGCATAAAACTCCCGGAATCGTCCATCAAGTCTCAAATCCTCTTCGATTCCGTCAATAGTTAAGGAAATGGCGATCCCGGTAATCGTCTGTAGGGCCCACACTATGAAGAGCACGCTTGCCAAAAACCTAATCTTCAATGTCGGCTATAGCAAAAAAATAAAAGAAGAAAAAAAGACAAATTGAATTACAAAATATAACTTCTGCCCATCATCGGGATAAATGTTGTCGCCATTTTAATATGTCATTAAATTAACATGTTTGTCAGCGGAACATTATCAACTGCCAAAACACATTCGGCACATTACATCGCATCAGGTAAGTGCACAATTATTTAACGGACTGTTTGTGTAGCTTTCTTAAAATATGTTTTAATTTTAAAGTATACCATTAAATTAACATGTTTGTCAGCGGAACATTATTGACTGCCAAAACACATTCGGCGCATTACATCGCATTAGGAAAGTGCACAATTATTCAACGAACTGTTTGTGTAGCTTTCGCAAAATATGTTTGAATTGTTAAGTGTATCTTCGGTATACTATACTTTTCCTGCTCTTTCCAAATGATGTTTGGGTTAATCTTTACGTTATCAAGAAAACCCCACTATAATTACTGTTGCATTAGTAATGTTATTGTCGTTATTTACTGTATAAGAGATGGGAGGAAACAATAGTCAACTATTATGTACGCATGGAGGATACGAATATTCTACTCGGGTGTAGAATTTATTTTGCTCCAACCCGAGGCGTTGCATTCGGTAAAATGTTCTATATCCCTCTGATAACATATGATAGACCCTGTTACCCTGCAGTAATTGGAGAATTATTACTCTACATACTAACGTGTCGATTATGTGTATATCGGCAAATGTTTATTCAATATTAGGTATATCAATGTACAGTAGTATATACTGATATGCGTTGACATGGTTAATTTGTTGTTGTTTTGGCTTTTGTGTCAAGTATATATGTAACGAATAAGACTAGGATGGAGGATAAAAATATTCTGCGCTTGGTTGTAGAATTTGTTTTGTCTAAACCGATGTGTTGGTTCTGTTACTGTGTACATGGGCGGATTGGTCAAGTGGTTAATACTTCGGCCTTCCACGCAGACGGCCGGGGTTCGATCCACGAAGTCGTCGTACGCATGGAATATCAGAGAAAGTGTTTTTCTCCTGCCCACACAACTCCAACAACCCAGGTGGAGTTTAAAATTATCTGGGGTGGATGTTGCGGTATCTGTGCTGTAGCATTCAAGTGAGGTGGCACTATAAAAGATGCCGTTGGAAGCTCGTTCCCACTACAAAACAGAACACAATACATCTCCAGCACACACGCAGGCATACAGACATAGGGAGATATTAGCCAGGTGACATAGGAATAGTAGTTAGCGCCCGATAAGGCAGCTCCTGCGAATTCCTCAAAATTGAATTAATTAATGTATATGCTAATTGTATTAATTGTATATCTATGTACTGTAAAGCGCTTTAGAGTGGCTTATGTTAGCTAGATAGGGCGCTATATCAAATGTTGTATATTATTATTATACAGTATCTCTTTTTGGAGAGCTATTACTCTATAAACCAGTAATGTGTTGATCATGTCTATTTTAGAAAATGTTTATTTGATATACGTTATATTATTTACACGTGTGCATTGGTATCTACTTATATATAATGTACTTTGAAATGTTATTAAGACAAACAAACAAACAAAAAATTAGGAATACTCAGTTTTATCTCATTACATTTTTTTGTACTTATGAATTTATTGCCTTTTCTGATACTGATGTTTTTTTAAATCGGTATGCGATTTGCAACGTAAAAACGCTGCCAGGATATTTCATTGGCCATTAAATTCACTTTTCAGCAAGGAGGTTGATATTTTCAACCTGCTGTGAACAACGTCTAAGTTTTTTTATATGGAAACGTAATGGAATATACGAACGTACTCATAATCCGCAATATATTACAGGTAAAAATATATAGAAACCTGTGTGTGTATGAGTATGTGCATGCTAAAGTTCGAAGATAATGTTTATCCGGTAATGAGGTTAAATGTAGGACTTCCTGTACTTACTTCTGGCAATGGATTTTCATATCCTACTTGGAGATTCCGTCTGTGTACATAGTCTTGCCAGTGGTGCCAGCCCTTGCAAGGAGAAGAAATGGTAAGCTTATGAACAGATTTATGTACAAGCCGCCAACGTCAGGACTCATCTAAGCAAGTGAAAGACACAAAATCAAAACACAAAACGCATCTAAAATAACTCTTAAGATATAACATTATTCAGATAGATATGTGATATTGATTGCTATACCTAAAAGCACTAGATATAAACAGTAATTCTCTGTAATGAGAAATCTTTAACTTTCGTTCACTAAATTATCTTAAATTAACATCATAAATTAGTCAAAATATTTGCTAGAAAAAAAACCACTTTATTTAAATAGGTGTTAAAACGCCTACACATACAGATGTGACCTTCGCGCTAATCAATTATGCAACAAGATCTTCTGCAAAGGAGCAAATTATAACGAAGAGTGGGAGAATTACTCAAAAACCACTGTAATGCATAACTGTAAATATCAATTATGCAATAATCATTAATGCAAATACACCTATGCAATCATCTTATATAAAATATCTTTTGTAATTATGTAAGTGAGCGTCATCCATTGAATTATTTAATGTGTAATACAGTATTCATAATAATGCTTTGTTTATGTCAGATCATGTTCATTTGTTTTATTGTCTACATGCCAAGGTACGTATATTTTGCTATTATTTAATATGAAAATACATTGTGATATTTTCATATCCCAAGATAGATTTCCCTATTGTTTACATGGCAGAGTAAATACATTGTCCTGTTTTTTATATGTCAAGATAGATGCAGTGTCCTATTGTTTATATTTCAGAGTAAAACATTGTCCCATTGTTATGTTTAAAAATTGAAGGGAAGGGATGGGATGAGTTGAGCAAGTTTGAGCAGATACTGTATACACCGAGTACCCAGTCTAGATCACTTTTGAATTTCATATAACAGTAAATTGTTTGTAGTACTAAATCGACACATTTAAGATTAGAATGCTACGATGTGACCAAAGCTGTTTCCCCTCAGATACTCAAGATGACTTGACCAAATGCATGCAGTTCGGCTAAGACCCATTTCGTTTAAAGGGGTAAGACATATAACATTGCTTAAATCCAAACCATGTTTGCTATTTCCTTGATTGATATTACTGCCATCAGTATTTCAGTCATTCTTTCTTAATAAGTGACTAGAGACATATATAAATGTTTACGTCTCTAGGGTGATCATTCATTTGCCACATTTTATCTGATTCTGTCAATCACTAACCGGATTATTTTTGGTAGACTATGAACAAATGAATGCATTTTTTCCGGTCTTAAATAAATGAGACACGGGTGGTCAACAAACATGCATTGCGCATGTTAAGTAATTCTGAGGCTTGCACTCAAACTGACCACATCTGGAAACACTATATACCTACATAAATAATTGGTTTGGTCCAAAATGACGATCTGCTTGAGATGTTTTCCAAACTATGACCCATAAAATATGCCAGTGTATCTACCGACGATGCTGTGGATTGTTTTAATTATGTTTAATTATTATCATTATTTCTTAAGTTTCTTTTTATAAAAGTAGGTTTTGTTTTTATTCAGTGTATATGTACATGACTCATTGGATATTATTTGCTACTGAGAGTAGAACTTCTTCTTTTTTCGAGAATTGGCTGTGATATTGTAACATGACAACATTGACGCTGGCGTGTAGCTAGGTGCGCATTTTAAGGTAAGGGAGGTAACGCTTCTTGATTTCATTTTTTTCTTCAGTAGAAGTGTTCTAGGACATGAGGAAAGCCTCGTTTTCACTGCCTTAATACATCAATATTCATCTGAGTTATTGCATTATAATTTGTAGTATTGCATCATTCCGTTCTAGGTAATATACTAGCGTCGACACTAACGAAGGGAGGGAACTCTGATGAACTTGGATTTAATAAAACCTAGCTTAAGGAAGTAGATGTCGTGCCTGACGTTTAAGAGATTAATTTAAAAGTATAAGTTTAAGGTATAGTGTATAAAAGAAGAACCCAAACATGCAAGGTGACAAGAATGATCATCCTGGAAATATTATTGATTATGTTTTAGAGAAAGCAAATGTAGCGAAAATGTAGCAAAGCTTGAGCGACATAGGATACGTGGCGAATCAAATTCTATATATGTATTCTGTTGATAGCTTGTTGTAGGAACCGATCTTGAAAATCAGGCTAGTAAAAGGTATCTTTCATATAAAATCTCAAGTATTAAAACAACCATTTTCTTCAAATTCAATATTTTGACATCATTCATATTTCTTAAACACTACCTGACACAGCATGGTCGTTGATCTGACACCATTGTTCAAATGTGTCAAATATACACCGCCATGACACAATACACACCTGTCGCAGTTGCCCAGATGCAAAGAAATTCGATACGTCTTTCAATCTTTCATAGTCATCTCTGTTCTGTGGCGGCATTATTATTCCCTGGGTTTGAAAGTTAATTTTCGACCATGTTGGTTTCGTTTTGGTGACAAGTTAACATTACGTGCAGAGTATGTACATACGGGTAGACAGGGTAAACAAACGTGCTATTAATAGCATTACTCAGCTCTAAGAGTGCTCTCCCTTACTGCTTGGATTGTAGGTGCGATTTGTTCAGACCAGAACAATGTTCAACTGATAGAATCTCATTATTGTGGACCACGGGGTTACTTCACAATAATGAGATTCCTATTATTGTTTTCACTAATTTACACATTTAAAATATAAAAATATTACACATTAATTAAAGTTGCACCATAATATTACTATTAGAAGTATCACCAGTAACGCAACATTCTTGTATTTTGTTGTGAGGTAATATAAAAACAGTAACGCTGACCTAGAGATCTCCGTGGTGGAAATACTGTAGTCAAGAAGAAAATATAGATATTTGGATAGGACATTAAACTTTGCTATAGTAAATGACAGCAAGCAAATTAGAGAAATGCTGAACATTTAAACATTGCTTTCTATATAAACCATACAACAACATAGATATAATTTATTTCGGTCTGTTTACATTAAGGAATTAGACAAAACGAACTCATTATTTAAAATAACATTTATTGATACACAAACAAACTATAATATGATGTTTTTGTTGGTTTTTTATGAAGGGCCATTCAACGCATTGGTCACTTCGCGATGTACATCCACCATACCATGTTCAAAAGTCAATAAATTATCATTTTTTTTATATGAACAAGATTACGTCCTCTTTATTGTCAATTAATTTTGATTGTTGTAGTACTCACGCGAAATATATCCTAGTTTATCTTCCAAACAATAGCCTTTAGTTAAACAGTTAAAGTAACACGTCAAGAAAAGCATATTATAAATACATAAACAGGTAATAAAATATAGATTGAAAAAATAATATTTGATTATAAATAGATCTATGAAGTGCGTTATATTGATGAATATTCTGCAGCGACACTGATAACACTTTATCGTTGGGTGAAGTATTTCAGGATTGGAAAGGGTTTTGTTTCTGTTACTCTTTATAGGTCGACCAAGGTCGATATTACAAAACTGTGTATTGGAACGCATGCCAAAATGGAGAACAAAAACAGTTCAATGCTCAAAATATTAGATATTACAACAGGAAGAGCTCATACAATTCAGAAGAATCGTTTTTATCAAACAGTGATACCACAAACTTTTGATAATTAGTATATTTCTATGTGTGCATTTCTTTCAATCTCACTTCAAATTAGACAACGAAGAATATTTTTCCTAAAGACTTACCTCTTTGTAAAATTGTTCCGAGAACAAACAAATCATTTGTTGCTATTAAGAAATATATAAAATACTAAGTAGCCCATCTATTGTCCTAGTGTTATACTTAGTTTCAGACTTCACACCTAGGTTATTGTAAGCTATCATTTTCTTAGTTACCCTTACTGCAACATTTCATTTTAAGTTGCAGTAAAATATTATCGTTAAAAATTAAAATCAAACCAGTAGTTTTAACGGGCTAGGAATGTTTTTATTCAAGATGGTACTAATAACATCACTTCTGGTTTTCATGAAGGATGTCAGAACAAAGATTTCATAGAAGGATCCCTTCCTTAGAGAATGAACGGTCGATGGCATCAAGAAGAGCGTGAGGATTCTAATCGCATTCAAACCTAATCCCTTTATAACTTAACTCAAAAATAATATCATAAATGTATATGCAGGATACTTTTGTAAATGTTTTTATTTTCAAACGTTAAATGAAATAGATCAGTGAATACATACACTGGTTAAAATTTTCAATAAATACATTAGGTATGTGAACAAGTGATATCAGCAAATAAACAATGGAAGAAAATTAATAGGAAACCATATTATGCCTGCATTATAATTTGATTTAGCTACACTAAGACGATACCATCTATTGCATCCTTTAGAGAATAGAATGCATTTTTAGTAAATGGTAGCACACGCGGAATGGCATAAAACTCCTGGAATCGTCCTTTTGACGTGAAATCTTCTGTGATTGCATCCGTAGTGAAAATGACGGCAGCCCAGACAGTCATCAATATGAACCACACTATGAGAAGCACGCTTGCCCATACCTTAATCTTCAATGTCGGCTGAAGTAAAATATAAATAAATAAATAAAAATGGACCTACAAAACGCATCGTAGGTCCATAATTGGAATAAATGTATGGTATGTAGCATTGACTATTTTACTCAAAGAAACAAATTGCTGCGCGCAATCGAGAAATTACATCTCAATACATGCCTTATAGTATAATTCCTGGTGTTCCTTTCTATCATATTTCTACACACACACACACACACACACACACACACACACCCCACCCCCACCCCAACCCTAGTCATGCTCTTTCATTTTGTTCAATTTTGGTTTTTGTGTCAATTAAGAATTTATTATACTTTTGTTTTTGAATCCATTAGGTACAGTTGTATGTGTTCTTCTGTTATGTTGATTGTGTAAATCAGGAATGTGTTCTAATTTGGTTTTTGTGCCAATTACGGTTCATCAATGAAATTGATATGCTCACCATGCAGTGAATAATATATAAACTTTTTGATATGGAAATATTATCGAATATACGAGAGTACTGATAATCCCCAAAATATCACGGGTACATGTTGTAAACGGGTTTTTTCACTAATAGATGTAAGTTGTACATTTATCAGGCGATGAACTGGGATTTCCTTACTTACGTCTGACAATGGATGTTCATATCCTAGTTGGAGATAATTTCTGTGTATAAAGTCTCGCCAGTGTTGCCAGCCCTTACAGAGAAGAAGAACAAATGGTAAGCTAATGAACATATGGATGTATACGTCGCCAAAGCCAGGACTCATCTTAGCAAGTAAAATACAAAACACATCTGAAAAAGTAAACTTCATCAGAACTAAATACAAAATAAATTTAACCAAAAACTATAGAAATACACTGTAAACACAAACTGAGAATTTGACAGCAAATATAACAACTTAAAACGTGAAGATTACATCATAAAAAAATATTTTAAAAAGGAGATGAAACCGAAAAATATTTTGATATATAGTAAAAGTAATTGTATTGCTATAATTAACGATAATTCTCTTTGACTGTAAAGAGAAATCTTTAACCTTTATTCACTATTACAAAGATGTTTTTAATAACCCACATATATTAGACGTGTCGTTCGTTGTTGTAATTCCTACAAATACTCGAATGGTGGCGGTAAATTCTAGCAGACATTGGCGTATTTGGGCCGTTTTAGGGGTACTTTCTAATTATCTAACACAACTGAAACCTTGATAAACGTTTTTTAAAACGACCGTGTTCTTCAGAAGATATATACACTTAGAATTTGGTAGAACACGTGCTTATTATTATATCTATGTTGAAATAAATAGTTTCGATTATTTCTTAATTTACTTTTGTCGAGGACTTCTTGTTAATTCGATGCATTTGTTAATGATTCATGATATTGGATATTATTTGCTATTGAGAGTATTTCCTAATCATTTTTTTTTTCAAGGATAGGCTCTGATATTTTTACATGAAAACACTGACTGTGGTATGTAACTAGGTGCGCATTTTTGAAGTTGAGACTGTAAAAGTAGTGTAATGTAGCACACACTGCTAGATTTTAGTTGTTTCCAAAAAAGCAAATCATGGTTTTAAACAAAGTCTCTACTATACGGCTGTAGTAAACGTATTACCTTACTGTTCCTGTGCAAACTGATTCCATCACATCAGACTTTTGTCCACTGCATCGATAAAATATTATTTCATCGGAGATATTTTATTACAATGTGTGGCATTGCATCATTATTTTCTAAGGATACAAGCGTCGAAACTAACGAAAGGAGGGAATTCTGATAAACTTGAATTCAATATTTAAAGGCTAGCTAAAGGAAGTAAGTATATGATTAGCTGTATTTACTTTTATCACATAATGTACTGTGTTATCCAGTGAACATACCCGTCATATATTTGCGTATTAAACCATGTAATATTACCCATCAGCTCTGTTATTGGTTGTAAATTTTAATTGTGTCACGTCTATGACAAGTACATGACGTCACAGACTTACTCACTGGAGTCAAAAGGCCGGCTTTTTACATTTCAAAGTTGCATGAAAATTGTCGTTTTACACGAATAAGTGCCACAAATCTTGATTATATGATAAAACGGATCTTACATTCGTTTCATTTCATATGATGAAACTCGTCACGCAGTTTTCATTTTAGCCCACCATAGGCTCGCTATATTGAAAAATTGTAAGACTCGTTTCATAAATCTCATATGAAATTGAAACCCATGTAAGATACTATATATATATATATGCCAATCTTTCAAGGTAATATATTTTTACTAAATGTTAATGATATAGTCCTTGGTTAATGTAAAGAATTAGCGGAAGCATACAATGTCACAAGAAATGTTTGCCTGGATATATTATTGATCTTTTTTCAGACACAGTCAATATAGCGTATGTGAATCATTTTTCTGTACCTTATGTACCTTGTTGTAGAAACCTCTCTTGAACAACACGCCAGTTAAAGATATATTTCATATTATGTCAACAACCATTTTCTTCTAAAGTGATATTTGAACATCATTATCAAGCATTGAAATATCGAAATCCCTCGGTCAGGATTCTGAATGTCGAAATTTTCGATTTGGTTTTATACAGTGTAAGTATTATTACCAACACATATCACAAAGTGTAGTTATTAAGAACGTAAACGATATGCAAAGATAAATAAAATTAGCTGAATCTTGTGGAAATAAATAATTTATTATGCAAAATGAATTTAAAAATTAGACGTTCTGGTGTGTAGCTATACATGTACGTTCCTATATTGTACAGGTAATCGAGAACAGCGGCGTTTAGTATATTTTCAGGTTATATACCCATGTCTAAGGCTGCCTCTTTCAGTCACCTATTATATCTATAAAACACTACCTGACAAAGCCTGATCGTGTCTAATACACACCGCCATGACACACCTGTACTAGGTACATGTAATACATGTACCTGTCGCGGTTGCCCAGATTTCAGGAAATCGAAAACGTCTTTCAATGTTTCATAATAAACTTGCGCGTTACCATCTCTGTTGTTGGGTGGCATTATTCATCCCTGGGTTTACATGTCAATTTTCGGCCATGTTGGTGTCGTTCTGGTGACAAGCCAGCATTACGAGCAATAATGTACACAAGGGTAGACNGTGTCGTTCTGGTGACAAGCCAGCATTACGAGCAATAATGTACACACGGGTAGACAGGATGAACAAACGTGTTATTTATAGACCTTACTCAGCTCTTAGAGTGCTCTCCCTTACTGCATGGATTGTAGTTCCGATTTGTTTAGACTTGAAAAATGAACATGAGTGGACCCAAGGGTTATTTCACAATACAATTTTTATGCTGAATAAGTCAATGGTTCGATACATCTGTAAGTCTGATACGTTGTGTTTGAGAAAATATAGGCATACATGTATAGTCCCATCACCTTTCTCTATATACACTATCGCAGATCACTATTACTTTATATTCAACATATACATTATGTATATGTCACACTGTCANGGTGTATGTCTTATTTAAAAAATAAATAAAAAATAAAATAAAAAAAAAGGTTATTAGTATTTGGTCTTATGGGGGTCTTTAAGTTGTTGGGCTTATACTATATGTGTTTTATTGGATTTTTTCTTATATAAAAAAGGGATGGGGAGATCACCGGTCGTATCATATCATGGCATTGGTCTAGGAGGAGGGCGTATCGTATCCAGGCTGTCCGTTTTTTATATCCTACTCTATTTTGTTTTTTATTTTGTTCCTATATTTTGGAAGTCCGTCGAATCATCGATAATAAATGTAATCTAATCTATCCCTATCCTCTGTGTCGGCGTTAACGCGCCTACTCTTTCGACAATACACAGAGGGATTTTTTACGTGCAGGTTGGACCCTCCTACACGGGACACCGTTTATGGTCCCCTCCGCCGGACTGGGTAGACAGGATAAACAAACGTGTTATTTATAGACCTTACTCAGATCTTAGAGTGCTCTCCCTTACTGCATGGATTGTAGTTGCGATTTGTTTAGACTTGAAAAATGAACACGCGTATCTTAAGAAGAGTGAATTATGAGTGGAACCAAGGGTTATTTCACAATACAATTTTTATGCTGAATAAGTCATTGGTTCCATACATCTGTAAGTCTGATACGTTGTGTTTGAGAAAATATAAATATAGGCATACATGTATAGTCCCATCACCTTTCTCTATATACATTATCGCAGATCACTATTACTTTATATTCAACATAATGTATATATATATTTATATATATATAAATTATGTATATGTCACACTGCGACTAAATATGGACTCCCCTGCTGTGACTGTTAAATCCACTGCAGAATTGAGAGGCGACTAATGAGGGCATTCCGTAGGAAATTGAGATTTTTCACATTTACCGGGCCAGATTCCCACATGCACATGTTCTACGTTTTTGATATCTCGTCCCTTCTTTCTGGTGCTTATCTCTTATTGACTCACTTTGTGATAGTGCATCTTGCGCAAGAATAGGTCCTCTACATCAGCGTTCCTTGTCCGCGATGCTCTCAGGTTAATTGCTGCCTTCGGCTGTCTTTAGCCGAGGGGACTATTGGTTTTATATAATAGCTATATTTTCAATTATAGTATATCAGTTCTATCTTCTTGTAATATGATGTATATGTACATGTAACTGTTCTGTTTCACTGTGCCTTGATAAAGAAGCGGATCAACCAAAACTTGTCCACACTGTTGGAATTACTTCTTTGCCCAATATATATTTATATATGTATGGTCCCATCACCTTTCTGTAGATACACTATACATGTCTTGAAAATTCAGATTTCTATTACCTTATATATATAAAGTTATACCATTATAATATGAAAATATTACACCTAATGTTGCACCGATATATTATTATTAAAAGTATCACCAGTAACGCAACATTCTTGTATTTTGTTGTGAGGTAATATTAAAACAGTAACGCTGACTGCCATATCTGAACAACAGATCTGGAGATCTCCGTGGTGGAAATATTTTCGTTAAAATAAAAATAGTTATTTGGAAAGGACATTAATCTTTGCTATAATATACAATGTATGACGACAAGCAAATTAGATAAACGCTGAACAATTTGACATTTTCTGTATGTCCCACACAACAACACAGATGTAATTTATACATTTCGGTCTGTTTATCTGTTTATATAAACGAATTAAACAAAAGGAAATCATTAATTGAAATAACATTTATTGATACATAAACAAATTCTAATATGATGGATTATTTTCTTGATTGTTTTTGTATTTATGATGGACACGATATGCCTTGGTCACTTCGCCGTGTACATCCATCAAACCCAGTTCAATATTCAATAAATTATCAATATTTCTACATGAACAAGATAACATCTCCTTTATTTTCAATCAGTCTACATTGCTGTAGTTCTCACGCGAAAGGATAATTGTTTATCCCCCAAGCCGTGAGTTAAACAGTAAACGTTACACATCAACAAAAGCCTATTAAACACACACAAATGTACCGCTACATACAAGCAAATAATTACATAAACAAGTAATTAAATAGATTAAAATAATCAATGTGTATATGTAAATAAATGAATTAATAAATGAATAAATTGCGCAATTTTTATTTATTAAGTGTGTCATATCAATGAATATTCTACCGTGACACTGACAACACTTTATCGTTGGGTGAATAGTTTGAGGATTGGAAAGGGCTTTGTTTCTGATACTCGTTACAGATCGACCAAGGTCGATATAACAAAACGATGTATAGACACGCATGCCAAAACGGAGAACAAAAACAGTTCAATTCTCAAGAAGAAGAGCTCATATAATTCTGTAAAATTATTTTCATCAAAGATTGATACCACATGTTTTTGATAATAAGCAGAAGAATTAGTAACAGGTTGAAGACATCGAATCAGCTGCTCACAATTTTTGTCCCAAATTTCTACGGATGCATTTCTTTGAATCTGACTTCAAATTAGACAACTAAGTATGTTTTTCCTACAGACCTTTTTCTAAAATTGCCACGAGAACAAACAAATATTTTTGTTGCTATTAAGAAATATATACTAAGTAACCCATCCATTGTCATAGACTCAGGCTTGGGGCAATTACATTGGTAATTTAATTAATTAAACTACACATTACATTGTAAAAGTAGCATTACCATTACCATTACATGTTTTCTTAATGTAATTAATTACCATTACAATTACATTGCCAATGTAAGTAATTACCATTACACATTACTTTTATTTAATATTCTGGGTATATCATTTTTAATCCAAGCCAATAAAAATACAAGTTTAAATGACATATGTACCTTTATTTGTTATTAACCTGTTGTTTGTGCTTCATACAGGGAATTTACATCACTACATATATACAAAATGTATGTTTACACTCGCATGGTATGTAAATGTACTCAACTCTGGGAAGATGTTCTGCTCAGACAGCTTACACTATATGTGTAAACATGCATATTGCATTTTATCATCATCAGAAGTTCAAAAGTTTTGTCATTTAGACGGCATCTGTCTGGATGGAAAATCTTCCTGGCTAAACTGAATATTCTCTCTACTGAAGCTGAAGATGATGGGATAGTCAAATACTTGATTTTGTTTCGACAGAACTGGGTAATGGGCAGAGTGTGTTTGCCAAAATGACAAAGGGTCATCCTCCATGTCAATACAAAGGTTTTCGAGATATTTCTCTACTTTCTTTGGTGCCAACCCAGATTGGTGTCTTTCCTTGGGTAGATGGCAGAAAAACTGAAGTAATCCATCTTGCCTTGAAATACCCTGTTGTGTGTTTGGTAATTTAAAAATGGCTCAAATGTGGTTGTTCAAGTTTTCAAGTGAAGGTGTAATTCAGTGTTAGTACTGTTCACTATAGGTTCACCCTTACAAAGATAGAATGTTCTGAATGGTCTACCCTGTTATGATACATGTACTCACTGTGTGGCAATCTTTTGTTATTAAAATCACAAGTTACCTGGTCTCTGGGAAGGAGAACAATAGCTAAGCTATAAATACTTACATAATAAAGATTTACTTTGGAAACTTTCTGTTTGATTGAATTGTATAAAGGATGCATGAAACTTCAACACTAAGCATTAAAGTAATTAAAAGTAATTTAAAGTAACTGAGCATTACATACATTTTTCAATGTAATTAATTAAATTACCATTACATGTAATTGAAAAATCCTCAATTACACATTACATCCAATTACATAACAAAATGTAATTAATTGCAATTAATTACCATTACCCCATCCATTGTCATAGTGTTACACTTAGTTTCAGCCTGCACACCTACTGTATGGTAAGCTATCGTTTTCTTAATTACCCTTACAACAATATTTCTTCTCAAGTTACTGTGAAATATTATCTTGTAAATGAAATAGAAATCGAACAAATATATTTATTATCGGACTAGGAATGATTTTATTCAATGGTTGAACTACTGACATCACCTCTGGTTGCAGGTTTTCTTAGAGATTTCACAACACAGATTTCATGAAAGGATCTATCCTTGAAGAATGAATGGTCGATGGCATCAAGAGGAAGTACGAAGGGAAAGACAGACAGAACGATGTTCAGATCAATGACGATTTTAATCACCGTGAAACCTTAACTAAGTTTTTTTTCTCAACTAAAAGTAACATTACTAAGGAGGACACTTTTTCAAACTTGTTTACTTTCAAACATTGAAATTAGAATAAATCATTGAATAAATACACTTATTTTTTTCAATGGCTAAATAAGGAATGTGAATAAGTGATATCAGCAAACAAACATTTGAAGACAAATTAATATAAGACCGATTATGCCTGCATTATAGTTTGATTTATCCACGCTAAGACGACACCATCTATTGCTACCTTTATAGAAAAGCATGTAGTTTTAGTAAATGATGGCACACGCGCATTGGCATAAAACTCCTGGAATCGTCCTTATGACATGAAATCTTCTTTGATTGCATCCGTATTGAAAATAACATCAGGCCAGACAGTCATCAAGATGAACCACGCAATGAGAAGCACGCTTGCCAATACATTGATCTTCAATGTCGTTGAATTAGAAAAAAAACACGGAAATACAAATGTATATAATAAGTATGCACGC